AAAAAAAAAAAAAAAAAAAAAAAAAAAAAAAAAAAAAAAAAAAAAAAAAAAAAAAAAAAAAAAAAGAAGGGGAGGAACCTCAGATTTTTGTGTTAACATATCTGCAGGGAACAGTTGGAGTTCTTACAAGTGCTAGCTTTTATAGAATCCAGCTACTAAACTTTCTATGTTAAAAAATCTAGATATTGAACTTGTGATAATAGTATCTACTAGGTACTTTGTTGTCAGAATAGAATGAAATAAAGTAACTTTTTAAAAATACTTAAAATTATATCCAGTACATAGTGAGTTTTCAGCAAATGGCAGTTATGTTTTTAGAGGATGCTGGGGGATTTTTTCAGTTGTTGATTCATTTGTTATTCAGAAATTTACATTGAGTTCCTTCTGTGAGCCAGGAGTTTTTCTGAAGTTCTGGAGTACAGCAGTGAACAAAACAACCGAGTTCCTTTCTTTCTCTGAGTTTATATTCTGGTGGAAAAGGCAAGTGGATAAATGAGAAAAAAGTTTGCAGGTTATGACAAGCTCTGAACTAAGCAAATAGGGTGATACACTTGAGAGTAACTGGGAACCTCGTTGAAGTAGGGAGGCAGGTCTTGAAGTGGCCTTTGTCCCTGAGACCCAGTGATGAGAAGGAGCCAGTCATGTAAGGAGTAGGATTGTGGCATCCTGGGAAGCTAGTATAGCAAATGCACCAGCCCCAAGACAGGAAAACACTTGGCTTGCTTCAAACAGAAGGAAGGCACTGTGTAGGCAACTGTATCCATGCTGGTTGGAGTTAGGGGTTGGGTTGGTAGTTTGAGGGCATGTCAGCGAAGTAGAAAGGGATCGGAGTATGTGGAGCCTTGTAAGCTGTAGAGGTTTTAGTTTTATCCCAAAAGTGATCAAAAACTTCAGCAATGTTGCATTTCTTTTCACTATGGAACATAGACTCTGTAGCTTTGGGGGAGCCTGTCAGCCTTGGAAATATTTCTTGGGTCTCAAGGCTGCTTGTGGGCTTGGAAAGCAGGGCCTTGGGGAGCAGGGCATCTTCATTTCCACTCAAAGTGTGGTCCATGTTTGGCAGTATCAGTATCCCCAGATCATTGGCTTGAGATGCAGAATCTGAGGCCCTACTTCAGACCTACGAATCACACAAATTCTTTGAGAGTGGGCCACAGAAATCTGTACTTTTTTTTGTTTTTTGTTTGTTTGAAACAGAGTCTTACTCTGTCACCCTGGAAAGAGTGCCATGGTATCATAGCTCACAGTGACCACAAACTCCTGGGCTCAAGAGATCCTCTTGACTCAGCTTCCCAAATAGGAATCTGTGACTTTTTAAAAAAAGCTCTCCCAAGAGTTCCTTAAGCACATAGAAGTTTGAGAAGCATTGTTCTAGAGCACATCTGGACAGATTTCCACAAGAGTTGGAACTATGCTCTGTGGAGAAAAAGGGAATCTTGTTATGGGCACCTAGTGGGTCTTTTCAGCCACTGAGGGTGCCAGCTCACCAGGGCTGGGCACTAGTGCCAGGTTGAAAATTATAAGCATTTATAAAACTCTCTGCCCACTGTGCATCTTTGGTGTTGATGGCAGTTGGGCATAATAGTGATTCACGGTCAAAACCTCTTTTTAATCAGGAAGCTTAAAGGAGAAGCTAATAGGTTAGGTTACTTGGAATAAGTATGCTTTATCCAGAAAGACAGGCTTAGAGGTAGAAGGAATTCAGCGAGCACTGGTTAGTGTCCTCACCTTGCAGATAAAGGGACTGGAATCCTGAGGTGCTGAATGGCTCTCCTGAGGTCATGTGATTGATGACAGCGCTGAATCCAGAACTCAGGCCTCTCTCCTTCCAACCCTGATTATCGCCCAGTGTGTTTTCTACTGGTGGCACTATTTTCATACATGCTCCTTATGTAATTCATGACCATTTTAGAAAAAAATAGAATTATTTTATTCTTACCAGTTTTGTGTTCATTATTATTTTTTTTATTTTCAGAATTTTAATACAAGTACATCGATCCCTACTAAATGCCAGACATTGAAGATAAGCAAAATTAAATAAGTAAATGTTATAGAAGCATATATCTGCTCAATACATTTTTAAATAACTTTATGCCAGTTCTTATGTATAGAACAGGTGCTTTTAATACAGTAATCTCCCACCCTTAAAATGTTTTGAGTGAGGCTACATTACCATCTCCCACAGGGGTGGGGAACCTATGTTCATTATTATTTTTATGTTAAAAATAACTTAGTTTAAAAGAATTCTAAAATAATTTATTCATAGTTTCTATATGTTTTTCGCTCCTCTAGGAAAGATTATTACTTAATGGGAATGGTGCATTTAGCCAAGTGAGAGTTTGAGTTAAAACAGCTTATCGATACCTGCATACTTTATAATGGAGTGTGATATTTTTGTAATGCTAAAATATTTAAGGGTGGCGCCTGTGGCTCAAGGAGTAGGGCGCTGGCCCCATATGCTGGAGGTGGCAGGTTCAAACCCAGCCCCGGCCAAAAACTGCAAAATAAATAAATAAATAAATATAATATTTAAAATACTTGGTATAAACTTCACAGTAAATAACAACCCTGCAGTGGACATGCGGGGTAATTGGTAAGTGGATCTTTCTAAACAGTATTTCCGGTTCATACTTGATGGCATCACACTTGGTGTATTGACACAGGCCCGCTGGAGCGGTGTTTTCCCCGACCTCTAGAATCTGTGTTGGGCTTGGTGTTTTGAAGTTTAAGGAAGTGGTGGTTTTTAGAAGTTACATCTTCGTTATGTGTTAAAAAAAAAAAAAAAAAATATATATATATATATATATACACACACACACACACACATATAAAAATATATTTTTTTATGTTGCAGTGTCCCAGGAGCTTCTGCTGACAATTCCAGTTTCCAAACAAAACGTTTTGGCAATGCTGAGGGCTTCAGCCCCTTCTCTGATTTGCTGTCAACCATGAACGGATGGATGTGATGCCTGCTAGTCCAAAGGGTGAGTGAATGTTTGTGATTATTCATCTGAAAATTCACAAAACAAAAAGTCCATCAGGACAGTTGCCTACTGAGCAGGAAAGATTCTCACTTTGAAAGAAGGAACAGACCTTGTCGTCATTCTCTGGTATACCCGTTTCAGAGAACTCCTGCGATGATCTGAGGATTTACACAAGACATCACAGGACGTAGGAGAACTTTGCTCATTTGTTTTAATCCTACTCGGCAGGGTGGGTTATCTGAACCATGGACCACATGTACAGTTGTATTGAGTCATTGCCGCTTTGGTCCCATTACTACTTGTGAAAACATCAGCCACTGTGAAACAAACTTCAGTTTTTGAGTTTTAGGGGAAATTTAAGTTTGATTTGTTCATGGAGAGAGTCCCGTCCTTAGCTTTTCACATGATTAGGATACTTGAGAAAGCCAAAGCATTGGGAACTCTAAATTAGTGTTTTTCAACTTTTTTTTTAATCTCACAGCACACTTGAAACTATGGTTAAACTTCCGCAGCACACTTAAATGATGTTGATCAAAAAAAAAGTAAAGAAAGGAGTATACTTACTATGCTTTGAACTTCTTTCAAGAATAATTTAATTAATCTTTAAAACTTTTCACAGAATACCCAATATCCTCCCACAGCACCCCAGTGTGCTGCAGCCCACCGGTTGAAAAATCAATGCTCTAGGTTCTCAAAGAGTTTTTGAAAGACTTTTGGGCATGCTTTTTTTTTTTTTTTTTAAATCATAGTTTATTTTCTCAGGTTATTCATTGACTTTCTTCTTAGGTGTGTTTTCCATATTTGGTAGCATCTGTTCCAGGCCTCAGCCATCGCTCCCTTGTAGTAACAGACATTGTGACTTGTCATTAGCATGGACAATTCTCAGTTGAGGCCAAGTGTTTTGGGTGAAGACTCTGACATCATTCAATGGGAGCTTTGTCATAGAATCAGGTCAGTTTTATGGAGGACATATAATTGCAAGGTTTTGTAATGGATGGCATTAAATGGTGAGAGCCATTAGCATAAACTCATCCAGTCTTAGTGCAACTGTATTTGAAACAGATTCTGTGTGCTTGGTGGGAAGCAGAAAGAGACTACGTTGGGACTTGGAGATCTAACAGTTACCTGATAGGAGGCAAAGCAATCTCTCTCCTTTGATTTCATATATATA